GCATCATGGATGTGCAGCCGAGAAATCTGCGGCAACTGTGTGATGCCATCATGTCAATATGGACCAAACTCCCTGAGGAATGCTTCCAGCACCTTGTTGAATCTATGCCACCAAGAATTGAGGCAGTTCTGAAGGCAAAAGGGGGTCCAACCCGTTACTAGCATGGGGTGCCTAATAAAGTGGCCGGGGTGTGTATATATAAATGGGAAGAAGAACAAGCTCAGGTTAAAAACTTAAGATAAATCAGAAGACAGAAGTCAATGTCACAAATTAACAACTTTTATTTTAGAGTCACGGTATGTTTATACAAGATGATACTATTAATATAATGTGACTTTTCTATAGAATCATTATACATAGTTATTTTATCATTTCAGAATTCCCTGACTTTTAACTGATCAGGATTAGTTTTCCCTGACAAAATAAATGCAGCAACAAGACAATAATAATAACATAACACCAATCTAACATGTTTAGCTCTATAACATTTAAATGCACATCTCCAATGTCTAAGAGAAAAAATTTAATGAACATTTTTTAATGTATGACCTGCATCACTGTACAGAAGACTGCCATATGATCGCCATATTGACACTGAGCGCATGGCGAACAATTATGCCAGTTTTCCTAATCCCTGTACGATCATTTTTAATCTAGGGTTAACTGGGTGGAGTGTGAAATTGGTGGAGGGTAAAATAGGTGGTGGGTGTGTTACTGTACTTACATTTTTTTGCCTTGTTGTTGTTTTTTAGCCTGCCAAGTCGAAAAAAATGTGTGTGATTCACGCCAATTCCCAGACAAAAATCACGCCATCTGGCGGAAAATCTTGCGGCTTTTTCAAATCACGCGAGAATGTGTACAAAACAACAAAAATGGCGCCGGCAACGATTCTGGGTCCTTTTTTTAAGTACATTTCGGTGATTTAAAAGTAATTTTGAGTGATAAAACATTTTTTTTGCGATCATTGCACCTGCCCGGCGGGCAAATGCAATAAAATTTGTACTCTCCCGACAATAACAAAAACTACTTGCCCCGGGAGATCAGGCAATGGTTAACATTGAGCCCTGATATATATATATATATATATATATAAAGATATGGATCAAATGTTTGGGTTGTTTTTTATTTTTTTATTTCGTCAATATAACCTGCAATATATTTCAGCACATAAGGTTAATAAAGAATTACTACATTGACATTTTACAGTGAATTAGTTTCTACTTCCTGTCCTTTCTATTTTCTAACCTTAGATCCAATGTCAATGGCTAACTCAGTCAATGTCTTCCAGTCAGTCCCAGATAGCCAGACTAATGTTAGTCTACAGACTATCCTATAGGATCCATCAGCTATAGGTGGATTAATTTAGTTCATCTACTGACTGGGAAATTATCTGTGGAACGTTTTCCCAATGCTGCTCAGGGAGGCATTTTTACTGTGTGTCTCCATGGGAGTGGGGAGTACCAACATGGTGGGCGGCGGCTTCACTTTTTTTGGCCAATCAGGAATCCAGTGAATAAATAGAGATCAGTGGTAACACCCCAAACTACTGGCTCAGTCTGTTTCCAGAAATCCTATCATCAACTTTGAAATTTAAAATCCCAGCTGAGGTTTTTAGGTCTGACAGAAGACGAAGCTGTTTGGTTACCTTTGAGCAAGATATAGTTTAAAAGGGTCGTACTTACGGTCAATGTCTCTCCAGACCAAAAAACATTTGATCTTGATAAAATAAGTTTATATAAACCAAACACACATCCTGAT